TACAGGATAGTTCTAGAAACGTGGCGTGACACTAGTCATGTGACTTCGCTGACGCAACAGTTTGTTTATTACTACTCTTGAAATGTCTTTTACATACTAGAATGCACTACATAAATTAAATAAAGAAATTAAAAGAATTCTATATATTGCAAGTTACTTCACGAAACAACCAATAAAATTTTTGACTTGGTGAAAATCTTAGTAAAAATACAGCCATTAAATAACTCATATTTCATGTTAAAAACAGCAAGAAATGTTACAGAACTTCCCAAATTAAGAAGCACAGCATAAAAAAATATATCATGGAATAAATAGCAATACAGTACATAACAGTTCGTTTCACGCTAAATTTTTAGTCTCACAATGATGATGCAGTTATACCGATTTTTAAATATCGAGTGTTACAACAAGTACATTTGATCAGACTGATGGAATTAGTTCTAACTGGTGTTCGGTATAGTTCGATGTAGATTTATTAGCAGTAGCAAAAGGTATTGAATAGGTCACATATTCATGTGCCCTTTTTTGTTCGAAAAGTCTAACATTGTCAAAAAATCAACGACTTTTTTTGACGGTAGGATACATCATTATTTTTAAAATAACTTATAAAACCTGACAATATCCACATTTGAATAATATCACGATTTTAAAAGTTAAACAGTTTGTGTGGCCTAAAGAAAAATATATTTTATTTCATTAAATTTAAAGTTTGCAGGAATGAAAATAAACTTATTTAAGGCACTCGCACGTATACGTAATAGTAATACAGTGTAACTTGTAAGTGTAATAAAATAGCACATGTACTGTAATACAGTAGTACTAGTACTAATACCAATAGAAGGTAGTTTATTTTTTCAAAATTATGCCTTAGATCTTAATTTCATCGATTTTTGTCATGAAGAAGATTTAGCTATTTAACTTTTAAAATTTAAAATATACTAAGCAAAAGTAACTCATTACCTATATTTAAGGCTTTGGATCATTTTTTGTATTGTTTTTTTCACCAGACATTAAGTATATGAAAAAAATTAAAATAAAAGAGCAGATTTATATGTATAGTAAGATAACTGATAAAGCGTTGGTAAATCAACATGACTTAAACTATTAGTATTATTCTAAGAAGTTGACTTTTTATGTAAGATGATGTTTTGTTTGTTTGTTTTTTAAGCACAAAACTATACAATTGATCTTTTTGTGCTGTGCTTACCACATATATTGAAACCCATCAGACTTACCACTGAGCATTATAGGGGATTGTAAGATAAATGAATAAGGCATGCATACACATCAGTAGGCCTATTTTCCCCCTTTCATTTATATATCATTGATAAACCTTCTTCTATAGTTCTAATTTCTCTCATGGATTGAAATATCTGTATTGAAATTTTATGCAGCACCCTCTGCTGTTATTAGAAAAATATTGTTGTTAAAAAGTAAAAAAAAATGAAGTTGAGGTAGTGTCTTTGATGTAATTATTTTACAATTAAAATTGTTTTGCTACTCTTTTACACTTAAATGTTAGTTTAAAAAAAAATCATGGTAGTTTCTTTTTTCTTTTGTTTTAGCTTGATAAGTTAGAGCATACATGTATTAAGTTGAAATGGCTGATACTGAGGACCTTCCTCTCACTTATAAAATGTTAATGGTTCATAAGTTGGCCCAGAAGTTCCAGGAAGCAGTAAAAATTGAAACAGTTACTTTAACTTCTCCAGGACCAGATGAGATCATTGTAAAGAACAGGTAAATGTTAATGTTCAATACATTTTCCTAGTTGTACTGTGTGTGTATTGCTAAAAACCAATGGTTATTTATACTTCTTAGCATATGACTAACAGTTGGTTTACCAGACAAACTGTTAGTGGTAGAAAGAAGTTGCTTTATACAATAAATTTAAATATATTTTGTTTTTTTTTATCCATGGTATAGGCAGGGTGTGATTGTCCAAGAGTGTAGAATGAGAAATGGGCAAATATCCATAATTCCATAATGAAAAGTATTTACTCAAATTATTAAGAACTTTTCTAGTATATGTATAGATTGAGATGTATTGATATTGATATCTACAGTATTTGAGAGAGTTCATTTTGCCTGGTGGTGGAATACAACAGTCGACTTTTATTAACCAGAAATCTAATCTGAATATAAATTTAAATAGCAATAAATTTTAAAGCTTCACATTTTACCATTGTAATTTTTACTTATGTGTAATTTTGCCTATTTTAGATATAAAATATTAAAGGAACTTAAGTCACCTTTGGTATTTATCTATGAAAAAAGCCTGTGAAAGTTTCTCTAGGATTAGACTGGGATTCTGCCAGGTTCTTCTTAGGGATGGAGGATGACATGGGTGTCTGCAGAGTGAGGGGCAAGAGGGGGCACTTGCATCCACCTGGAAAATGAGAAACAAAATTATTTTTTTATTTATTCAGCATATGTATGTGAATTTTGTATTCAGTTCACAATTTCACACTACTTTGCCCCCCCCCCCCAGAAAAATGTCTGTGGACGCATGGGGGCTGATGAAACTATCTTACTTTTAAAAGTAATACTGTATGTATTCACATCTACAAATAGTAAAGTAACAAGAAACTGCAATTATAACAAGTGATGTTTGTTTGTTAAATAAGAGTTTAGTCTTACTTATTGTTCATTACATATAATATGTAAATGAGATGATACTTTTCATATTTTAAGTTGCTAAATTTGTTTATGTTTTGTGTTCACTAGGTATGTAGGAATAAATGCCATTGATATTTTCATCACACCGATCAAAAATATTGTGTCAAAAAAATACCCCTATCCAGTGGGGTTAGAGGTAAGTTACTTTTTTTCTTCAGTGAACTGTATGTAAATTAAAGTTAACCGGTATACACGTACCTGTCAGAAGTAATAAATTGCATTTTTATAATTTTCTTAAATAAAATATTATAATTGGCTCTAATGCCAGATACCAAGTAAATTTTTTTTTTAAATGTAAAAAAATGACTTCAAACAATCTAACATTATAAATGTGTCGTGAATTGGCAATCAATTTCAAAAATTATAACATTGTTAATCTATTTTTGGCTCATGTGTAATTGTGACATAATAAAATATAATTAAACTATTCAATTTAGAGAAAAACCTGTAAAAAGTTTTTTGAAAAAATATTTGTTGTTTTTTGTTTTCCTTTTTCTGACTAGACCTATCTTTCTTAGAAAGTATTTTCAAAAATGTACACCATATTTATTAAGAAATATGTTAACTGTTTTTAATGGTTCTTCTCTTTTATTAACATTTTATTTTTAAAAACTGATTTTTCTTTAACAAGTAATCACTGACTCAATAGCTGCAAAAATGGTAGGGCAATTTATAGGAATGATATCTGGCATCTAGGCTTTTTTTTCCTGAAAATCTGCAGTATTTTATAAGGAATCCAGAGGTGTATGCCAATCTATAACTGGATGACATCCAAAGAAGTTATGATTGGTTATTGTCGGTAGATTTGGGTGATTTTTTTTTCTTTCCCAAATTCAGACAGTGGTTGTAGCATTGTTGTAGTACATTTGTAGAACACTCGCCATTCCCAAACTTTTTATGAAACCTGTGAGGAACTACTGAGACAATGAGCTAGAATATTTGAGTTTTTGTTTTTGTTGGGATAGAAACAAGATCAAATTCAAAATTCACCTGTAAACGTAAAGTAGTAAAATGTTGGAGATGCTACAAAAGTAGCAGGTGTGGATGCAATCAAGTGGTGTGACAGTTTCTTATAAAGTTAGCTGTTAGAGAACTTGGAGACACTTAGGCAGAAAAGGTGGTTTGCATACAGGAGTGGTAAACTTATGGAGGTATCTGACAACTTGCCCTCAAATGGGGATGAGAGCAGAAGGAAGAAAACAATTTAAGATCAGCTAAGGAATGAAGAATGCAAAGACTTTTTCTGAGTGAAGTGCAAGAATATAGAATACTAGCTGAGTTACTCAGCATTGCATGGTGAAAATTTAGATTTGAAATATATATAGATCAGTATTTTTTTTCAGCAAATTATTCAGTAAGTAGTCAAAAGCTGTGATGCGAGAAAAAAGCATTTAATCAAACAAAGCTTTATTTGAAATTAGATCATGTTTGAGCTTGTCTTTTTCTTTGAGCCTGAAGTCGTACATCATGTTGCTCCTCTGTTTTTTGCTCTTTGTAAGAATTTTGTCTTAATTTTTGTGCTTGAAGTTTGGTTTGATGTTGTTCAGAAGATTCTTGTTGTCTATATCCAGCTTGTCTTGATGATTCTGACTGAACTCTGGCTTTGTGCTGTTCAACAGTTTCTTGCTGTCTTTGAGTAGCCTGCTTTTCAGTTTGAGTTTGAAGTCTAACTTTACGTTGTTCCAAAGTCTCTTCCTGTATTTGAGCAGCCTGTATTGCAGCTTGTGCTTGAAGTCTTTGATTGCATTCTTCTTCTGTTTCAGCTGCTCTTTGTGCTTGCATTCTTTTAGCAGCAGAAGACTTTCCATAGAAAGGGCGTTTCTTGGGTGGCATAATTACCTGTATCACTAAACAATAATTTGCAATTCATAAAGTTACTAAATCACATATGAAACCACTTAGCACTATTTAAAGAAAACTGTTTTTGGAAGTACTGAATTGACAGCAAGGTGATCTGAGTGTCTCCCGCTATAACGCTTTCTATGTGCAAAACATGCTTATGTTTGTATGTTTATTACAAAAAAATGGCGCAATAATCATTAATTGTCAATTTTGTCATTAAATACTACACCAAATACAAAATAAATAGCACCATTAAATTTCTTGTAAAAACTGGTTATTATGAAGTTATTTTAAAATTGTAAATTCAACCATT